TTATAACTGTGGTAGGGTGGGTCATATGGCTAGGGATTGTGATCTTGTCAGTGGCGGCGGTGGTGGTGGAGGAGGTGCGTGTTATACTTGTGGAATGACGGGGCATATAGCTAGGGATTGTGTTGGTGTTGGTGGTGGTGCTGGAAGTGGTGGAGGCGCATGTTACACTTGTGGAATGACAGGGCATATAGCTAGGGATTGTGACCGTAGCGGTGGTGGCGGCGGCGGCGGTGCTGGAAGTGGTGGTTGTTACAATTGTGGTGGACTTGGACACATGGCTCGAGATTGCCCTAGTGAGAGACGTGGCGGCGGTAGTGGTGCAGGTGGAGGTAGTGGGGCTTGTTATAACTGTGGATTGCCAGGGCACCTGGCAAGGGACTGTTCACGCGAGAGTGGCGGTGGTGACAGATTTGGGAGATCCAGTGGTGACAGGTTTGGGAGATCTAGTGGCGGCGGAAGCAAGTGCTACAACTGTGGAGAAACTGGCCATTTTGCAAGAGAATGCACCAGCCCAGCTGTGAAGTGAGAAAATCTTTAAGAGGAAGAGTTATCATGTACATGATCTTCTCTTTTTCTCTTGTCTTCCTATTTAGGAGTATTTAATTAATATGGATAATACAGACTTGTTTCTTTTGTTACTTTTAGTTCTCCTACATACATGCATTGGTAGCTTTTAGGATAACAAATTAGTTGTTGGAATTTGCTACCAACTGTTTCTATGATGGAAAGTTTTGATTTTTGTTGGTTATACAAATATATAAAAATCTTGGCTTTGGATTTTGGAATTTTTTGGTTTCTCATGGGTAAATTTCACTTTGTATTTATGTTCTATGCCCATTAATATTTTATCTCTTTGATGTTTTGAATTCATGGGAAAAGTTGTTTAGCAGCGTCAATCTTTTAGATGTTTCACTTCTTTATTTGTAGTGATTATGTCTTATGTCTCTGTGGGTTTGGGAATGCCCGGTGTTCATCGAGTGAAGATATTCGGTCATAGTCCTCGAGTAGTATTTCTGTTTGCTTGATGTGGGGAGTTATTGGTGATTGATTGAGTTTTGATCTATGATTTAGTAAAGGATTCTGTTTAGGTTAGGAGATTGCCTTTGGGGGTTATGATTGAGATGTAAGTTGTGCAATGACTTTCTTTTGCTTTACATGATCATTCTTGGTATTGTTGAATCTTTTGATCTTGCTAAACATGGTAGTGATGGTGTTATACTTGTAGTGTGGTACTGAAGCTTGAATATCGGTGTAAACTTCTCTACCCCACAAAGTTATAGGTAAGGTCTCTGTATACCCTACTCTCGTAACACTGGGTTGTTGTCCTAGTTTTGACTGAACAATTGGAATAGTACTGTCTATCTAGCATTGGCATAGCTGGTGTTGGTTTCTTGTTTCCGTGATAAGTTGATGAGCTACTAAGAATAGGCCTGATCAGACTTCTAGTAAATAAGAGACTATTAGAGGCAGCACAATTTGTGTATCAAGCTGCACTCTGAATGCCTTCTTGATTGACAACCTAGACATGGGTTAAGTTGAACTCATTGCCCGCAATAGTATTTTTTTCGAGACTGAAGGTCAATCAATTGAATTGTTCGACTTTGATTCCAGTCTTGACATGTATTTCAATGGAGGAATCAATATCAGAAATAGAGTCAGTGTATACTATAGGTTAAGCAAATTTGATTTCTAATTCTGCTTGAGCCGAGGGTCCAATGGAAACAATTTCTCTACCCCTCAGTATGTCAGCTTTGTCGTAGACAGTAAGTTAAGCAAATTTGATTTTTGATTCTACTCGAGCTGAGGGTCTAACAGAAACAACTTCTCCGCCTCTCAAAGGTAAGGTAAGGGTAAGGTTTGCTTACATTCCACTCCCTCGGACCCCTACTTGTTGAATACACTGCATTTTGTTTTGTTGTAGATGATCAATGGAAAAGCCAAAAGGAAATTTGTGAGATTATAAATGCATTATGCAAGGTGGGCTTAGGTTGTGGACAAAAATTAATTTTGGTTGGCTTTACATTGAAACTTGTTTTGCATAGCTGATAGCTTGCAACCCACCTTCTACAGCCTCTGTGTGTAAACATCTACTTATAGGTGGCCATCATTATGAAATCTTGATAATATTTAAGATCGAAAAGCCAAATCAAATCGATGGATAATTGAATAGGTTTGAATAGTCGAAATCAATTTGGAAAAAACCCCCGACTTGGTCTGGTTTAATTTGGTTTGGTAACAAGTAAGAATAAATTAGACCAAATCGATAAAATAAATGTATAATTTTTATAAGCTAACTTTTAAGGATTTTATATTGGATTTTCTTTGAAAACATGTTAAGAAATATTTATGATTCTCTTATTGTATGTGATATTTTATTTAATAGAATTATGTAGTGCATTCATTTTTATATACTGCTTAATTTAATATGTAGTCCCTTTTTCCAAAAAAATATATATATAATGGAGTATTGTTGAAATTCATCAATCTATTTGTTCTTTGCAAGATATATTCAACTCTTATATTATTGTTGAAATTGAGATGGAGTATTTCAGTAATTTTTTAATTTTGTGTTTTGATTATAAAATTTAGTTAAGCTTGAATGCATTATTGAAAATTATTATTATGTGTTCAATAGATGATATATGTTAGTCATTTTGTCAATTGTTATTATTGATTTGGTAAAAATCGACAGAACTAAACCATCATATTCATTAAATTGATTTTTGTAAAAATCAAACCAAAAAAATTGACTCATGTACACCTCAATTGAAACCCCACTTGAATCTAACACCTTTAGGTTCAAATTGCCTTGTAATTTTATGACATTGCATTGCCTTGTAATTTGAGCTATTTCATGCGAAAATTATTTGCGTAATTTATTTTATCATATTTTAAAAACAATTTATCATTTAAAAAATTACTAAAATTTTCACTCTCTTCTATTTTTGAATACATCACTTTACAATCGATAAAATACATCGCTTTACACGAAATATCGTTAAGTGATGAACCGAAATCGAGACACAATGTATCAGGATGTTTTGAGATGTATTTGAATTTCACTAAATTTAAGAAATTTTTATAATTTGAAAAATAATAAAAATATGATATAATTAACTCTTAACACGTAAAAATTGATCTTTTTTTTATCAAACCCATTTAATTCTATGCAAATTGAGTGAGTTAAATGGGTTTGGACCAAATTTGTCATCTTTATATGCATCATATATCGCTTAATTCCTACTAAACAACGATAGACATATAAATTTTATTCTGAGACATAACTTAGTTATAAATAAATATAATTAATAATAGTTGAGTGAACAATTTTATTAGATGAACTACTATTAATTAATTAAACAGAATATTTCTGCAAAAAGGTAATTTTTTTATTACAAACTAAAAAAGAAGAAGGTAAAACTATCAAGTATCAAACTAAAGATAACTAGTAATTAAGGATAAATATACGAGTAATTAAGATACAGGCCGTCTCGATCATAAGACCACTAAAGCAATCGTTTGGGGCCTTAATTTTTTTGAGTCTCCCATTTTCTCCCATATATATATATCATGAATTGATAAATATTAAATTAAGAAATTGAATATTGTTTAGTTGATTGTAGTATCTTTTCCAGATTCTTGTGTGACTAGTTAATTGTATATATCCTTCCTAATTTCGCATGTGACAGTCGCTTTTGTTGTATATCTCATTTATATTGTGACGATTATCACGAACCAATCATATTGTGTTCTTATACTAACTTTTCTTTATTCTCCTTTCACAATTTTTTATTCTTACATTATTGAATATTTTAAAGTCTCTCAAACGTTCAAACCTTCTACATTATGTAAAATCTATTGTTGTGTGTTTATAAAAAGATAAAATTTGTTTTTGGTGTCTTATTCAAATTTCAAGCACCAAAACTAATCAACACTATTTTAATATTATTATATCTACTTACCAAATTCATCACAAACACTATTTTAATATCGTAATATTTTTTTAAAAAATTGAGTCATGTCTTATTACTCTAACTTAATATTATATAATTTTTGTTGAATAATTTACATTGTTTATATTTTTGGTCTAGCGTATCTCCTGCCTCTCTAGATCTCATTTGAATGATTACACTGAATATGATATAATTATTTAATTTATATTTATCAACTAAAAAAATAGGATTTCTTTATAAAATGATCCTGTTAAGATCATTGATATGAGAAATTTCAGGATTATGGTATTGCTAACAATTATGTTGTGTATTCATCTGAATTAACATAGTGATTTATCTAAAATTATATAATTAACAAGGTTTAAAATTATGAATAAGAATTTCTCGAGTCTTAACTCGGAAGCATTTAATTTGAAGTTCAAGAATATAAATCTTTAAGAGTTTTTTTTTTTCTTTTTAGAATTTCAAAAATCAGACAAACAATTTAAAACAAAAAGAGCAATAAGTTAAATGCTTACTTTACTATAATTACAAATAAATTGAAACAAAAAGAGTAATAAATAAAATACTTATTTTACTATAACTAATATTATTGTATATTCTCAACGAACAAGTAAAAGTACACATAAAGAGTATTAATATAGGAAAAAATTATTTTAGTGGGTATTTTTTAATAAATAACTATTTATTTTAATAACATTTTATTTATTTATTTATTTATTATCATTTATAGCAATACATAATAATGCTATGATAAATCTGCACTATATATTAAAAGTGAATTATTCATACAATATAATATTTAGCAAGTGTTCTTAAAATATATTATGTTTACTTGGTAAGAAATTGATAAAATATATTATAACTGTATTAAAAATGTGATAAATATATTACCATCAACAAAATTTGTATTATATATATTACATAAATTATTCTCTCTATTAGATATTAAAACTATATTTTACAAGTATTATTAATGTTAAGTAAAAAAGAAAATATTCTTACTATAAATAGTAAATATTTTCTTAATTTTACTTATTTACTTAACAAAAACAATTGCCGACCTACATTATTATTGGTAATATTTTCCTTCAATGTCCCTCCAAAATACTTCCTATATATATCATCCTTTTTATTTTCCATAAACAAAAATCAATATATATTTTTTTCTAGTATAAATTATATAGCATCTCATAAATTTTGTCATCAAATTGTTCTCTTGTTTTTTTTTTTTCATATTATTTTTACGTGCCCACATTGCCTTTTCTTCACACATTTAATTTTTTTCCTAATAACACAAAGAATGATGAATGCTCAAGTTTCTCTTGCCTTCTTTTTCTTATGTTTCATCATTCTAATTTCAGGTGACATATTTTTAACTTCTTCTATGTAAAATTTGATGGTATATTGAATTCAGAATCCATATTTTTTTTTAATAATAATTACGATGAGTTCAATGCTAAAAAAAGTTAAATCGATCAAGTTTATATCCTAGGTGTCTCTATGTTTGGATTTGACTATTCAGAGTAGAGCAAATACATAATATAATAATCCCAAGTCAATGTATAATAATAATGGGATTAACCGTTAAAAAATACTTCTAGATATTTTAGTGAATTTTTATATATAGAGAGAGAAAGAGAGACAGAGTCGGGATATAAAGATTCATACTAGATTTTAAATAAGTTATTTTTAGATAAATACAAAGTTTGGACCAAAATTATTAGATTCCGTTTACATTGGTCCAAACAAAAGTTATTTGGCAACGTATATGGTCGATGTCAATTAATTTAAGATTGAGATGTAGTTGATTGATTGACTAATATTTTTCATTTTTTTTTTAATAAATGAAACAGGAGCCTTATCAGCAACATTTACACTAGTAAATCAGTGCAATTATCAAGTATGGCCTGGTATTTTATCAGGTGCAGGCACAGCTCAACTTTCTCCAACAGGATTCATGTTAGACCCCAGCCAGTCCGTCTCGGTTTCCGCGCCAACGGGCTGGTCGGGTCGTTTATGGGGTCGGACTTTCTGTTCCCAAGATTCATCCACAGGCAAATTCACCTGTGCATCAGGTGATTGCGGCTCCGGAACAGTGGAATGTTCCGGAGCTGGAGCTGCTCCACCAGCTACTCTGGCGGAGTTCACCTTGAACGGTGCTGGAGGGCTTGATTTCTACGATGTTAGCCTTGTGGACGGTTATAACTTACCAATGCTTATAACTCCAAAAGGCGGAGCTGGAAACTGTTCAACAACCGGTTGTGGTGTTGATCTTAATGGGTCATGCCCGAATGAGCTGAAGAAAATGATGAATAGCTTAAGTAGTGAGTGTGTGGGATGTAAAAGCGCTTGTGAGGCGTTTGGTGATCCAAAATATTGTTGTAGTGGATCATACGCCACGCCTGATACATGCAAGCCAACGGATTACTCATTGTTCTTCAAGAGGGCATGTCCGCGATCTTATAGCTATGCTTATGATGATGGCTCCAGTACTTTCACTTGTGGTGGTTCTGCAGATTATGTTATCACCTTTTGCCCTCTTCCTTCTGATAGGTATGTAGCAAACTTGCTTCTTCTGTTTTGCTTAACTTGTTGTGTCTATAGACAGACGAAGTTTACGAGTTCTGCATTCATTCACATCCCTTCTTACCTATTGGGTCTCAACACAAATACAGAATTTAGGTCTAAAACTATGTTTCTGCCAAATTCATAACATATAGAGGGAAGGATCAAAAGCACACTTAAAGTATATCCGTTTTTTGAGTTTCATATCTCAACTACCCCTAGACGTTTATCAAATATACCTGAACTATCAACTGTTCACTTTTCCTACTTAGACGTTTAGGTGTTTTTTTTAACCCATTGCTCTTACATGTATATTGGTCTCACTAAAAGGTAAGTTAGGACCCCCCATGAGACAATTTAGGCCATATTTACTTCAGATATAACACTAATTGGAGTTTAGGAAAGTTACACTAAGGCCTTAGCTATCATGATTTCGACTAAGTGTTTACATAATCTTCTGCTCGTAAGAAATAAGAACATTCATGAACTGACCCCACCATCTCCGCCTCGTGGAAATTACTAAATCACCAGGCATCCAAGAGTCACAAGACCAACCTTAGAACTCTGTTCAATAAGTTAAACACTTTACTCTCAACATTAAATTACTTTTTCTGTTCTTTGATAATTATTTGTCTTATAATTTTGGTTTAATGTTGCAGCCCTAAATCACCTGGAGGAGGTGCTGGCGATGGATCGTCGCCCATGAGCCGCGGTGTATTAACCAATAGTCCATCACCATTGTTGACAAGCTTGATAATCAATATTTTAGTTGCAGTTTGGGATATGATGCAGTTGCATCGATCTTGTACTGACAAGGGCGTATCTAACATATAAATTTGATTTGTTTTAGAAATTATAGGTCCAACTTATATAGTACTACTAGTTTTGAATTTTAATACACACATTTGATTTAATTATATATATTTTTTTAGTATCAATGTTATAATCTAGAATGCACTAGAATTGAATAAAAAACTTTTCAATCATAGCAGACTTCATATCAGTGAAAATTATCCGTTCAATTGATGTTGATGTATGTAATTAAAGGAGGGTGCATATTTTATGTGATAAACTATAGTCCAAGGTTTTTAAATGAAATTTACTAGCTAGTGTAAGTGTAAGGGTTGTTAATATATACCCTAAGTTCCAAGAAATCATATCTCCTATCAAGACATTTATCAAGGATGCAGAAGCACATTTGAAAGAAGCTATTTAGACACAAATGTTGATCACTGAATACACAATGAAAAGTGATAGACCACTAGGCCACATTCTTGGGTGCGTACCTCCATAATTTGACACTCTATCAAACAATTTATTGGTAGCAACATGTAGAGATGCAAGATTATACTTTGCCTTCTGCAGTAATAAGAGCAAAGAGATAACTGCAGTAAAGAATGAAGCACAAAAAAGCAAATTATCTGGTAATGGAGACAAATATAATTGAGATGGCTTCCAAGCAAAAAAGATATGACTAACGGTATTAAGGTTCAATGGACAGACCCCATCTATCTCCATTTCCCAGTAAAGTAATGGAACACTTGACAGCAAAACAAAGCAAAGAGCAGTGAGAACATATTGGGGAAGGCAAGTTAACACAACCGTCATAAAGGTAAGTAAAATGATGTTTTAAGAACAGAAAAACAAATGTATGAAAAAAGTAAAGCTCAAAGCAAAGAGAGCTCTTTGACAAGCGGGAGTAACAACAAATATGCCTTCGGAGAAAAAGGACAGTCCAATATTTCCAAAGTAAGCCAGATCAGTCAGAAAAGTACCTGAATATGTACATAAGCTATATAAAGATGAAACTAGAAATGGTAGAGGCGTACAGGACATGAGAAAAACGCTTCAGCATGTCCATCCAATTTATTAGGTAGCAACTCTAACCAATTAAGCAACAAATTTCAAGCATCGAGTATCATTATGAATGGTCCGACATTTGATTGAGCAGAAGCGCATCCCACACTGCACGCATGTATAGGTCGAGGAGAAACCACAAACTGTGCAGAAATGGCGGCGAGCGATGGAACTTGGAGGTCCTACCGCTGCTCTTAAATAGGTTGGCACATGTGGTGGCAAGGACTCTAGGTTTGCCTTCACAAGTAGAACAGTGAGAGGTTAATTTAGGTCATTGAAGTAGAGGAGAAAAAAAACATCTACTAGCCTTGGAAAAATCTAATACCTCATTCAAGAGCTCAAGGAATGATTTTGGGGCTCTCTTATTCTCAAGAGCCTTTGCTTGGCGAGTTTTCCGCTTTGTGCCCTTTGGGTACTTCTTATGAAATACTGAAATTAAAATTAAAAAAATTGAAGTGAAAAAGTAAGAAAGTTTTTATACTTATAAATGGAAGAGAAGGAATAGGACCATATAAATCCTCCACTAAGGACCGAAAGAAAAGGTATAACAAAAGAAGTTTGCTGAAGGGATGATAAAGATAGAAGGAAACAAAGATAACAAGATAAAGATGGTTATATTCTTTTCATTTACTCCTCTGTCTTTTCTTTTTACTCATGGTCAGGCGGTCGCTAGCTTCTGAAATTCTCTGGATCCACCATTAATCCATCAGGCACAAGAAGAGAAAAACGTCCCCCAAATCCATTGTCTTCATTCAACAGCAATGGTTTTACAGATAGACGACTACACTCTCTGACAAAAAAGCATCAAGTCCCACAAATATTTATTTTACTCCTTAGTTACTGAATAGGTAATGAGGCAGGCTCAGCTTCAATGAACATGCAAATATAAGGGAATTACAGCTATGTGAAGCACTCCTTATTGAATATATGAATCAACTAAAGACAAGAGGGTGTTGCTCGGATGGTAAGCACCCCTCACTTCCAACCCGAAAGTTGTGAATTTGAGTCACCAAGGGAGAAACAAGCCGTGAGCTCCTAGGGAGGGGTAAAAAGAAAAAACTAAAGCGTGTAAACGTACAATCTGTAATACAGAATGCAAAAGTCCATATATTCTCTATACCATCTTTTATTGAGCAAACTAATCACCAAAGCCTGTAAATGTACAATTTCCTGAGTGTGGTGAAAGATCTATCTTCCTATCTATTATTCGTGAAACATAATGCTGGCATAAATGACAAAGGCTGCTATTCTCTCAATCCTATACTGCTTAAGCGAAAGGAATAGGAAGAACCCAAGGAACCAATCAAAACTATGCCAAAATTTTAAACTAATTAGGACAGTTATACCAATATTTCATATATATTCTGGCACATTCAAGCCCATTTTAGTGTAGTTAGCATGTCCCAACCAATGAAATCAGTATTAAGAGGAATTCATCATACTTATAGACTATTTTTAGTCATTAGCCTATCACAACCCTCCTACTTTATTGTAACTACTGACCAACTATACTATGGGAAACTCACAACCTAAGAACAAATTCAACTCCAGACGAGCTAAAACTAGTGGAAGCGGTAACACTGTAATCCAGAGTACACAAGTTCATAATTCTTCATACCATTCTTTATTAAGCAACTTATCACCAAATCCTGTAAATCTATGATATCCTGCAGGCTGTTGGTGAAATATCCATATTCCTATCTATTATACATGAAACCTAAATATGCCATATCTATTCCAGCAAATTCAAACCCATTTTAGAGGATGTAGGGCGCCCCCAACTAATCTATTCAGTATTAAGAGGAATTCATCATACTTAGACTATTTTTCCTCCAACCGTTAACCTATCACGACCCTCCTCCTTTATCGAAACTTCTGACCAATCATGTAATGGGAAACTCACAACCAAAGAACAAATTCAACTCTAAACAAGGAACAAAAAAAGAAAAAGAAAAAAAAAACCTTGATCCTCATCGTCAAGAGAAGCTTCATCATCATCATCAAGTAGTTGAGGTTCCACTACTGCATTATCACTTTCCAAAGCATCAAGCCGCGCTAGCATAGCCTACTCCGACAACGAAAAAAAAACAAATATGAATCATCAAATTTAGCAGGATATCCAAAATTTGAGTTAAACCATAAAGTATTTAGAATACCTGTGTTCTATTATCAGAACTGGCAAGAGCAGCAGCCATCTTTGGAGCAATTTTACGAGTTCTCATAGACATTCTCCGCGCTGAATTCGATATTTCTTCATCCATTGCTTCAAAAGTGAGATTCAAAACTACAAAATTAATTTACTACTTTTGTTTTTTTTTCCCTTCACTTTCCTGATTCCGATACCAAAAATGAGAAAATCTGAGTTATCCCGTGACGAAGATAAAAAAGGAAGAGAAGTTTCCGTCGATGAAGATCAGAACAACAGCCGATCGCCGGCCGGCGGGAGAATTAGGGGTTAAAAATGTTTCGAGCTCCGAACTGAGAGAAACAACAAACTATCCGACTTTGAGTTTTGTTGAATCCCTGTATTTTCAAAGAACTCAAATTTAGACCCCAAACTATACCAAATTGTATTGTTATCCCCCCTAACTTTTTAATTATTTTTTCCGAACTTAGCTTTATATTCCTCGTTTTAATTTGTTTGTCTTATTTATCTTTTAAGTTTGTTTAAAACAAAAAAAAAGGTCTCTTTCCTTTTTAACCGCTCTTTAATTTCGAATTTCTACCGAAGATGTTAACAATCACCAGATTAAATGACATGTTTATACATTCAACATATTTCAATGTAAAATTACAAAATTTAAAAGTTTCTTTATTTTTTGAATTCCATTCAAAGTAAAACAAGATAAACAAATTAAAACGAATGAAATAGTTCATTAAAAGTTAAAACACTTTCAATATCAATTTATCTTCAACTTTATTAGTCCCTTTAAATAAAGAACCAAAATTTTGGCTTAAATATAGAAACAACAAACTATAAATAAAAAATAAATTGATGTGTAACAAAAATTTCAAGGAAAAGGTAGAAATTAAATAGCTTAGTATTTGAAATATTTAAGACATAATACATAGATATACATTTAAACTTGAAACGTGACGTGTGATAGCCAATAGAACAAGGAAGACACAAGACATGACAATATCATGATGAGCAGATAGTTGAGCGTTATCGCAAGGTATTTCCACTGAATGTTCCATTTTTGATAGAGAAATAGTTAACATCATCAGTTGGTGCTTTGGAGTTTATATTCAATACACAACCAAATCATTTCTTCTCAAGAAAGTGAAAGAACTAAAGTTAATGGGTTCTGAATATCAAAATTTTGATAAACTGATAATAATCAGTGACTTGTCCATAGTGGAATCAGTTCATATATCATAGTATATAAGATCTGAGCTAGCTTTTGATGGTTTTGTATGTACAAAATAAGCATACTAGACACAGTATAACCTGCATTTTCAAATCTTCATCGCGTAATTCTGACCAGTAAAGGATAGCAATGATCCATCTCATAATTTGGCCAGGAATCATCACCTTCGACAAATCCCTGATGACGCCTCCAAACTTCTGTGTCATACATTTCGTCTGTGCTGAAATGCAATCCGCTATCTTTAACTTCTCCGAGAAACTTGTCCAATGAGTTGCCTCTTCTGGGGCTGAAAAGTATGGCTTCAGAAGGACCTTCCTTTTTTAACAATGATTTGATAGTTCGGACAAGTGCTCCATGGAATTCTTTGAAGAAAGTGCTGCAAAATGACAAAAGAAGTAAAACTACAGAGTAACTTTAGCAGACGAAAAGGAGAAGATCCGTCTTCTGTTCTTGCACGTGTACATGAAAGGCTTAGGTGACAAAGATAAGAATTGAACTCCCCCACACATTATAGGTAGATCTCAACAGAGGGGGGGAGGGGGGTGGCTAGCATGGTCGTTATACAATTTTGTATAAATCATAGAGCTTTCTGTTCTCCAAGTTAGCATTCATTAGCCATTGATGTGAAAACAGTGACTCAGAGATATGATGCATTCAGTTCACAACTTACAGCAGAATTCTCAACGAGGAAAAGAACAGTTTAGTAAGAAAAGAGACAACTACCAGTCACTTGCAATGATGACATCAAATGTGTTGGAGATATCAGAGTC